GCAAGGGGCCCTGGCTGCTGGCGCTGCAGGAGGAGCGGGCGGCAGGTGAGTCTGCAGGGGGGGCTGGGCGGGGGCGCCCTGCAGGGCCCGCGCCCCATGCGGGCCGGGGGCGAGTCCGAGGGCTGGGCTCCGAGCGGCGCCCGCGGGGGTCGCCGTGGAGCCGCAGAGGGGTCCCGGCTGGCATTCCTGGCCTGGTGGCTCCGCGGTTTCCGGTAGCGGGGAATCCCTGGAGCCCGCGGCTGTGTTGCAAAGAGAGGCTGCGCCGGGAAGGGCCTCCGCGCCGTCCGGTCCGGGCTGCTGCGAACCTTCCTCCGCGGGGAGCGCCAGGGGTCGGGCCCGAGGGGCCACCGGGGCCTGCGGCCACAGCCACGGAGCGGGCGGTGGGCCAGGGCCCAGAGGTCCCCAGGGGCCCGGGGGCCGAGCGGCTCGAGGGCCCGGGCAGGTGCGGCAGGTGAATTAAGTGCATTTCCTTCTCTGCCCTTTGGTGGTCGGTCCTCGGGGTTTCTTTGTCGGGGGTGACTTTTTGGCAGGCGGATTCCATTAAACTCTACAGTGACTAAACAAACCCACTGATGGGACCCTGGTGCTGCCTCTGGTAAGGAGCTGGACTTCTTCGCTGCCTGGAGGACGCTGTCAGACCTTTCTCCTTGCTACTGTTGTAGAGGGCTCTTCTAACTGGAGGCCGTGGCTCATCAGAACAAATAAGGAATGGCCCAGTTTTCAAAGTCCCCCCCACCCCCATCATGCGTGTGTTTCACACGGGAAAATGTAGGGCAGTTACCGTAGTTACTCTGGCGAACGTGAGGCCGAGTGTCATCTCCCGGAGTGAACCCTCTGCGGTTGCCCCAGAGAGAGTCAATTACTGTAGCCTGGGAAATTGACCCACTGAGCCCGCTTAATTGTGCACAAACGCGTGTGAAGGCGCCCTCCCCAGACCCCAATTTACGACTTCAGTTCTGATCGCCTTGTTTAGAGGGTGACGAGTACCCGGAGGTAGGGGAGGAAGTCTGTGCCAAGGCGCTAAGCTCTCAAATAGTATTTGATTTGCGTGATAATGTATGTATTAAATTATCAGAAATACCAGCGTTGTGTGGGTTTTCTGTGTATGTGAGATAAAGCACCAAATCCGTCGCCAAAGGAAAGCTTCGTCTTTGAGCATTAAAGGAACCTGTTGTTGATTAGTGTAACTATGACAAACCCCCCCAACATTTTATAGCCCTCCCCGTTCTTTGTATGATTACTTTGTATAAACTGCCTTCTGGGAGTGTACACTGGGAAACTCAGAAATAAATACCTGTTTGTTTTTGTGGAAGAAGGCCTGCTTCTCATATAGACGTGCCCTGGCTTGTTTTTTTAGGCATGACAAAGGGTTCTCTGCCACTCCTCCCCACACTTTGACCCCATATGTGTTGGGGCCACTTTGCAAAGCAGTTTATTGGAATGAGGGGTCTAAGTTTTTGTATTACTGATTTTAGTGAACTGATCATGTATAGGCTGATAACGCCCATAGATCTTACAAGTGGGTTCGATCATGATACCTGTGAAGATGGGGCAGGACAGGGCAGTGTATCCATATCTATCATTTTATTGCGCATAATGGTTGCTATGGATCGGAACTGACCCAACTGTACCTAAAAACACCACCACCAGGACCTTGCTAGTGCAATGCTGTTTAGACTTGTTCGTGTGAACAGTAAAGGATTATGACATGCTGAAATTGTGCAACGGAGGAATTTATTCCTGTAGGATTTGTAAATGAGTGCATTCTGTTGTTGAGAGTAAATACAGAGTTTTGTAGTATAAACTGGAGCCTGGAGTTGGAGAAATTGGCAGTGGAAAGGGTGTGTGGGGGCTGTTCTTAAAACGCAAATGTTGTGAAGTTGCAAGGAACTGCAGGGATGTGTAAACTATAACCGTTCCTGGTGCCAGGCTTGGAAGGTTATTTGGTTGAGGTGCTCTCTGTGAAGAAACATGTTAAGTATCTGCAATAAAAGCTAATTTGTAGCTGTGCACGAGGGACTTAGCATGATAAATAATGGCCCACAAGGCACTCTTGCTCTTTATATATCTGCCAGTTAAGATCAAAACATCCCATTTTTTATTGAAGTTTTCAGCCAAGACAAATACTGGATTTGCATTGGCTTTGCTGCTGAGTTTGAAAGTTAGTTTCCGTCTGGTGCTTGTGCATCCTAAGTGTACAGGTTGTAAAGTAAAAAGAGCACTGCTGAGTTGGAGATGGCTTGACTAGTGGTCTAATTGTACAATGAAATTTTAGTTACAATTTGACTTTCCAATATAATGTAGTATTTGTGGAACCTAAGCCGATGAGGGCAAATGGGCTTTATAATTTATGAGTTCAAGGCTTGTTTTCTTTGTGCTGCTGCCTGGTTCAGATGGTCAGCTTGACAGGTTGATTTGTAGTAATGGGATGCCTATTGGGATGGAAGATCTCTATGCTATCTCTGGGAAAGAGTTTTTTACTCACTACAACTGGTGTTTTATATGGTTGCCCTGTTGCATCAGAGTATAAAACTTTCAGAATCAGACCATTCCAGTCTTTGACATTTAAAATTTATAGTTTTCCGAGAAATCAGGTAGTTGATAAACTTCAGGAAATGGTCACTGGTGGTGTCAATAGCTAAGCAGGCAGATAGAAGTGCCTGCCCCCCAGGGATCTCCAAGGCAGTAATGCTTACCCACTCACTTCACTGCCATCGAGTCAATACTGACTCATAGTGAGCCCCTGTGGGGGTCCAATCCCGTAACTGTTTCCCGGAGTAGAAAATGCAGTCTTCCTCCTGAGGAGCTGCTAGTGGTTCAGAACTGCTGACCACGCGGATCGCAGCCCAATGCATAATCACCGCCCCATTGGGGATTCTTTGTACAGATGCCTAGCAGCCCTATATATATATAGGGCAAAATAGAACAGCATCCTAAGCCTTGGACTGCTAACCTCAAGTTTACACAGCTCTGAGAAAGATGAGGCTCTCTGCTCCCATAAAGATTTACAGTCTCAGGGAATCCAGGACAGATGAACCCTTCAGGACCAGTGGTGAGAGTGGAGGGAAGGTGGGGTTTGAAAGGGGGAACCGATTACAAGGATCTTCATATACCCCCCTCCCTGGGGGACAGACAAAAGAAAAGTGGGTGAAGGGAGACGTTGGACAGTGTAAGACCTGACAACATAGTAATAATTTATAAATTATCAAGTGTTCATGAGGGAGTGGGGCGGGGAGGGAGGGGAAAATGGGGAGCTGATACCAAGGGCTCAAGCAGAAAGCATATGTTTTGAGAATGATGATGGCAACAAATGTGCTTGACACAATGGCTGTATGTACGGATTGTGATAAGAGTTGTGTGAGTCCCCAATAAAATAATTAAAAAAAAAAAAAGATTTCCAGCCTCAGAAACCCTAGAGCAGTGGTTCTCAACCTTCCTAATGCCGCGACCCTTTCATACAGTTCCTCATGTTGTGGTGACCCCCAACCATAAAATTATTTTTCTTGCTACTTCATAACTGTCATTCTGCTCCTGTTATGAATTGGGTGGCCCCTGTGAAAGGGTCATTTGACACACACCCCCCCCAAGGGGTTGTGACCCACAGGTTGAGAACCGCTGCTATAGAGGGTCATTAGTTGGATTCGACTTGATGGCTGTGGGTTATTTATTTATTTATTAGCTTTTTTGGTATACGATTTCCAAGATTGTAAATCTTTCAGAAGCAGACTGCTATACCTACCTTTTAGCTAGCAGCTGAGAGACTGACCACTACCCCACCAGAGCTCTTAATAGAAATGCATTGTCCCCTGTGAGCCCTCCTCCTGCTGGCCCTCCATTCCTTGTAACCACTAAGAAATCTTGCCCTCTGTACTTTTGCTTGGCTATTAGTCAGAAGTGACTTTTTGGAAGCCAGGGGTTTAGTTTAGTTGGTAGACTTGTGTGAGGAACCCTAGTGGCACAGTGGTTAAGTGCTCAATTGCCAGCGGAAAGGTTTGCAGTTTGAACCCACTGGCCATTCAGAAGAAATAGGTCCCTGTCTGCTTCTGTGTAGATTGACAGCCTTGGAAACCCTGTGAGGCACTTCTGCTCTGTTCTGTAAGGTTGCTCTGAGTCTGAAGCAACTCACACACATTTTGCTTATGTCAAATAATTGGGATTATACAATATTTAATCTTTTATGATGGACTTATTTCACTTAGCTAATGTTTTCAGGATTTATCCATGTTGTAATATTTATCAGGACTTCGTTTCTCTTTGTAGCAGAGTAATATTATATTGTATTAATATATCACATTTGAATTTTATGTTTTTACCATTAGTTCTTTTTGAGTTCCTTTTTATATATGGTGTGAGGTGTGGGATTATGGAGATTTCCTTGTCCCAGGACCATTTGTTGAAAGATTATTCTTTGCCATTGAATGGGGTTGACACTTGATGAAAACAATTAACCATTGTTGTATGCCTTTAATTTTGGATGTATGTTCTATGTTCTGTATTACTGCCTCGTGTGCAATTGTTACTGCATGCAACTTTAAGTACTATAGCTTTGAAATTTGGAAGTGTGAATCCCACTTTGTTCTTCTTTTTGAGATTGTTTTGACTATAAAGGAACCCTTTGCACTTCATGGGAGTATGGGGTTTGGATTTTTCATTTTGGTAAAAATAAAGGTTATTGTGATTTTGATAGGTATTGGGTTGAATCTGTTGAATGGTATTTACACCCTAACCTACCCAAACCCACAGCCATCAAGTAGATTCTAACTCATAGCAGCCCTATACAGGGTTTCCAAGACTACATTTTTACAGGTCCAGCCAGCCTCATCTTTCTCCTGTGGAGCTGCCCACCTTTTGGTCAGCAGCCAAATGCCTAGCGTCCAGTGCTACCAGGGTTTTTTTTGATAGCTATTTTAAAAATATGTGAAGTATTAAAACGATTGTTTTAAATCCCCAACCTCCAAACATGGAGTATCTCCTTGTTTTTTTAGGTCAGTTTCTTAATGCTGACCATTATGATGCAGTGGTTACTTGTTGGACTGCTAGTTGCA